CCCCCCGCCCCAGCCGCCGCTGCAGCCCCCTCAGCAGTTCCCTCAGTTCCACGTCAAGTCGAGCCTGCAGATTAAGAAGAACGCCATCACAGACGACTATAAGGTCACCACCCAGGTCCTGGGACTGGGCATCAACGGGAACGTTTTGCAGATTTTCAACAAGAGGACCCAGGAGAAATTCGCCCTGAAAGTAGGTTTAGGGCCTGGGGGAGGAGAGGGAAGGAGGACGGGGGCGCCCGGGGAAGATCACCAGCCTCCTGGACCGGCCGGGGCGAAGAGTCGCTTTAACTTAATCTGCTGACCCTTCTTGGGAAGGGGCGTCCGGCGCTGGCGGGAGGAGTGGCCGCCGCCGGGCTGCCGGGGCGCCCGAGTGGTGCGGAGCGCGCGGCTCTGGGGAGGGGAGCTGCGGGGAAGGTCAGGTCGGAGCTGACCACGCCGCCCAGACCCGGTTTCCGGTCACCTCCGGGCATGAGTGGCGGGGACTCCAGACGGTTCGTGAGGACTCTACCATCTTGGCGTTGGAGTGGGATCCAGCCGATCGCAACGGTTAGCTTTGGGACCACTTCTGCTTTAACCCTGTCTCAAGGAAGTGATTTTCGGAGACTGTGGTTCCCCAACTTTTCCTCCCTTCTTTCTTTCTGTGGGCACAAAAGGCCCATTACTCATTGAGCTGGTTGGTCGGTTGGTTTGGAGAAGTCAGCTCTCAGAGGTTTATTTAGCCTCGCTCCTTATTTGGGAGCCGGAATGTGTGATTTCACTTCCCTGGGCCTCGCGAGCGCGACCGTGCCGCCTTGGGGCACCCTGGCCCGTGAGGTGCAAGGTTGGATTCCGCTGGGACACCGCCCCCCGGCGCGGGGGAGGGATTGTTTTGATCCTCGAGCAGGTCGTCTCCATCGACTTTCAGTGCTTGTGGCTTTCCAGAAGGGAGGCCAGCAGGCTCCGACGCGGTGTTGGCCGTTTCCCTAGCTCCATTGATCTTTCTAAACCGAATCTGTAAACCTCGACTTGGCCCCATGCTGATTACGCATATCAGAGGGGGCCACTTTGGTCCTGGAGATGGACGATTGATGGACTGTAGGAGAGAACGTTATCGTTGAACTGGGGAAACCCAACGTTTATTTTTTCTGAGGGGGTGTGGTAGGGAGAATACCTGCTTCCAAAATTAAACAGAAGGGACTTGGAGATCTGAGAGATGGGGTAGGTCCCCAGACAAGGTGAGCCAGTCGTTCAAGGGTCACCAAAAAGTAGGTTTTCCCCTTAGAGGGGTTTCAGGACAAACCACATCTCTAAAGGTGACACAGCAGGTCATTTCCCCTCGGGTGTGTTAATGATTGGAGGAGGAGAAAAAAAATACTTCCTGTGTTATTCTCTTCCCCCTCAACCCGCACACTAGCTGTATTTCAGCTGTTAAATGCAAAACTCAGATATGAGTTATAGGTGGACTGTTGGAATATGTAATGAGATGTAACATGAACCTGGTACTTTGGGGTTATAGAGGGCAAGCATGTGCAATTCCCAGATTTTAAGATCTTTAAATGATTTTCTTGCTGCATTCATTCTCCCTTTTGGGGAGAGCTTTCAGCTGGCCTGAACTCTTTCAGATTTCTTTGCTTTTTACTGTAAGCTGCTGCTGTGGGATTTTGGTTTTCTAGTGTTGAGTGTTACAGAGGGAATAGACCTATATTTTGGAAATATCAGTATTTGTGTCTTAGATACTTCTTTCCATGCTCATAACAGGGAAAAGGAGGAGGGATGTTTGTATTGTGGGCTCTGACCTTGGGGAGCAGAACTGAGTGAATACAGTTTGACCATAGTTAACCTGTACCCTTCAGGAAGTGATAGACGTTCTTTCCAGGAGAGTTTTCTGTGCCCTCTGAGATGCCATCTGCCATCACCCATCAGCAGTTTGGGGGCACTGGCTGTTCATTCTCTTGGATAGGGAGAATGTAGTATAAAGACTTCCGAACAAAAGCTTTCAACTTCTGCTTCATATCTATGAAGTAGACACACATGCAAAACCACCCTCTGATAGGCCTTTAAAAGGCATTTCAGGTTCTGTTGTAATTAATAGGAGAGAGGGAGGTTGGATATTTTCACCTTTGAATAGTTTAGAAAGAAAAAAAAAATCTAACAGTGTTTTAAATAACATGAATAGTTTGGTGGGTTTTCATGAGTGGGATTTTCCTTCTCAGGTTATAAGTGGGTGAAGATTGAAGTCAGAGTCTGTTTTGACAGGCAGCCTGCTCCCAGATCTTACAAGTTGACTCAACTGTTAAATTGTATATTTCCCACACATCTTTGTGTAAAAGCTTAATAATAGAGGGAGGAAGAAGGGATGAGGCATAAGAAGAGTGACAGCAGTGTCAATAGTCCTTCCATATCCAAATATTCGTTAAGATATAATTACAGCTGTAGGGGGATTCTGGTTCCAAGAATCCTGTTCCTGAGACGTACACCAAGGAGCTTTCTAGATCTTGACTTTGGATTAACTTAAGCTTAGGTGCTGACTAGTGAGACGATTTTCAAAATCAGAAGTCTTTTGAATGTAAACTAAGGGAGGAAGATATAGGCAGGAGGGATCGTCCCACTGGGAATTTGCCTGAAGAAAAAGGGAGGTAACTTTTGCTTTTTGCTGTGGGTCACAGTCATTCCTGCAGATTTAGGATGGAGAGCTGTCAGGCAGCAGCAGGGCCCCTCATGGGGCTTCTGAATTGGGCTATTTCCCAGCTTCTGAGGGTTGATGGGAGGTGGTGGCTACCCTTATGTCCTGTGCTCTGTCTGTGGTCTGGTGACCTCTTAGCCTTGTTAAGTGAAATCAGAGCTTAAAAAAAAAATAGTTCCAACTTGTCCTGCTGCTTCTCAACCTTCACTTCAGAGATCTAACATTTGAATGCATCTGGTGGGTGCTGTGACCTCACCGCACCATCTCTCCTGGCTGCTTTTGCTAAGTTCTGAGTCATACTCATACTTGCAGTCAGAGTCGGAAGGGACTTCAGAGGTCATTTCATCCAACCCCCTCATTTTGCAGATGAGAAAAGCAAAGCCCAGAGCCAGGGAGTGACTTGTTTAAGGTAACCTAGACATTCACTTGGCAGAGTCTAGGTTAGAACCCTGGATGCTTGTTTCCCAGCCTTGGGCTTCATCCCATTTCATAATTGCAGTGACATTGGCAGCCAGGGCATGGAACTGGCCACTGCTCTGAGATTCCCTTGAGCCCAAGGAGCTGCTTCCTCACTGGAGGTCCTCCTGTGACTGTAGGCGAGGGGACATCACTGGGGGCTTACTGCTTCACAAGCAATGGTCCCTAAAGTTGGAGGGACTGTTTATAAATCAACTCAGTAGCTCTATGAGTTTTGAATCTGTTGTAATAAACTTCACCCCTCTCCACCCCTTTTAGAGAGTGATTGATAGAAATCTTATTTATTTTGGAGAATTCTATTAATTATTTCTTTGGTGGGGACACCTAGTCTCAACCTTCTTGTTTATTAATTGGTTGTGTTCCTCGTGGGATTCCTCAGCTGCTTCCTCCTTCATTGTGTCATGGTGACTCTTAGGTATTAGCTGAACAAATTTAATTAAAGCCAGCACCGTTGTTACTCTGCAGTGCGTTGCTCATTAGGTGAAATGTGTTATTGCTTTACAAAATACAGAATGTTGTCATCACTTATCTCTGTTTATATTTCCATTGTGTGGATTAGAGAAAACAAGGTTCTGGGGTTTCTTTTCCTTCTCTCCCTTTCTCCAGTCTTCCTCCCTTCCCAGGTCACTTAAGTGCCACCGGAGCACCTATGGAACCAGTAGCCATGTGTGTCTAATTAAACTTAAATTAATTAGATAAAATATTAAATTAAATAAAAAATTTAGTTGCTAGTCACATTTCAAGTATTGAGTAGCCACATACTAGAAGTTAGCAAATTGAACAGCACAGAAAACTATTTCCATCCACCTGAAAAGTTCTGAGACTTGACTGGTCTAGGGCTAAGATGTGTATTTGGGCAGACAGGGCTTTGAAAGGGAAATGTGTGAGACTGAAGAAGCTGAGGAAGGTTTCAGCTAGTGTCACCAGAACATTGCTGGGCCTCTGAGGAATGAGCAGGTCTTCTGGGGGTAATGGTGAAGTTGGACGCAGCTGGAGCTGAGGGGGAAGGAGGAGAACAGGTAAGTAAGTAAGGAGCAAGTGGTGCTAGTGGCTCAGAATTGGACTCAACCCATCTTTGCGTTAAAAGCAAGTTTTAGTGTGTTTGACAGTCATGAGGTAAACTAACAGGACGTTATAAAGAAAGGTTAGAACTCACTGAGGTTGAGGCTTATGGTTTTTTGAGGGAGGGGTCTGATTTCTGGTTCAGAGAACCTGTCTCTCTCTAGAGAGAAGGGCTCCACATATGCCTGCCCTGGCCCTGGCCCTCATTTGGTTTGCTGCAACAGGGGTCTTGGCATCCGCTGAGGCTGGATCAAAGCCGGGCCGGCTCATGGTCCTTTTTCACTTGTGAATTCTGGGCTTTGATAGGGCTTGAAAATAATCTCCAGCTAAGATCTGGGATCAGTGGCTGACAGAAGAGGAGAGAAGAGCCAGCCTAGGGCCTCAGGACCATGGATATTGGTGGGTGTCTTGGAAATAAAGGGGCTCCTTTTTGAGAAGATGAAGGTATTGGTATCTGTGATGGAGAAGATGTTTTGACCTCTTGGAATCTGAGGAGTTGGGGTACCATCAGTTGATGAGTCTATTTAAGAAGCAGGTGTGGGGCATTAGGGGTCATGGTGATGGGGATGAAGGCCTGGGGGAGCCCAGCCTTGGATCTGCTGGAGGCTGACTTAATCCCTGGCCAAATCCTGGAGCTGGAGATAGGGAGACCAACTTTCTGGTGTTGTGGGAAGGGCCAATGCTTCTGTCAGCAGGAGTGTATGGAGTCTGACAGGAGGAATGTTTGCCATGGTGGGGCAGGATAGGGCACCGTCATCTTAGTTGTGTCACAGTTTTGAAGTGGCCCTACAGTGCTCTGATCAGGATCCTCCTTGGCCGTGTAGTGTCTGTGGCATGGGACACACATTTCCCTGCCTCTCTGTCTTCTGCAGATCCTGCCTAAGGTGATGTAGGTTCTCCTTTTCTTTTCTCCTCCTGGAACTCTTCCTCTCCAGGTGGTTCTGTCTTGGAGGGATGTGGGTGGGCTGGGTAGAGTTGTTTTTTTTGTA